AATATCTAGAATTTCCTTTGTTAAAGTTCAATTATTTTCAATACTCCAGTTACTTATTTCCTTAAGTATTTTCGTGCCAAATTTCGTGAAATTCTAATTAGTGGTTTTCGAGTAATAGGCGTATTTCCGAGAGTGCAATTTTCATTCAATAGCAATTTTTTGACTTACTACGCATGCGCTGCATTTAACTGGGTTCTTTTGGTAACAAAGAAAGAGCTGAGAATTGCTGGGTTCTTTGCATCGTTACCTTTTCTAACATATCTTTTTAGTAAAAGACTAACGCCATCAATACACTGGGTTCAATTATAGAGAAAAATAACGCAGATAGTGCTGGTGTTGAGTAAATAAAATGATCACTGTATTGATGGCATGTTTGTTTTTTTGCAATCCTTGTGTGCACGCTGAATTGCATCAGCAAAAGCACACGTAAAAACTGTGTTCGGCCACCTTACGCTGCCATCCTCTATTTTAAGCGGCCATCTCCCATTCCCCTGAGGGTGGCTGCTTAGTCACCTTTGTTTTTGTCTACATGCAAGAGGTTGGCCATTACATTTTATTTGGAAGATGTTGAAATGAAGGTCTCAAATCACTGTGAAACTTAAGTTAATTAAGCATACTTTCAGGAACACAACTTACAGTAAAGCAATAACATTTTGCTTAACCATCCAATATCAATCATTTCGATGGTATCGTAAGTGGCAGAGGCTGACTAGGGTCCTTTAAAAGCAGTTATCCTCAGGGAAATGGGAGATGGCTGCTCAATGGGGGTTCGATTGTTGGTGCCTAATATGTAGATCACTGTAAATTTAATTATTAATAGCATTAGAAATAGGTGATGCAAATTCAACAAAACTTCACCATTATATCTTTCTTAAAAAAATCAATATACCGTATACAATAATCTCACCGGGCAGTAGTAATGCTGAAGGGAACTGCTCCAAAAGCTTGTCTTGTGATATTTTCACAACTTCTTCTGCTGTTAGCGGCAACTGAAGCTCCTCCACCAAGACTTTTGCTGCTTCTAGACTGCCACGCCCCATCATCTTAGATTTTACCGACCAATCAAATGTCTTGCCATAAGGTTCCAGAATTTCTTCAGTCACTCTGGTATAAATAGCTTCAGTATCTAAGATAAAGGTACAACAAAGAATTACAGTATGAATTAGGTACCTACTTACTACATAGTAAAGCTGCAGTTACTGTACTAAGTAATTTTTTCATAAATGCACTGACAATGTGTGGCTCTTTGAAAACATTAGGGCCCATGTCATCCACCGCAAAAATTGCATTGGTGTAGGTAGGCCTGTAGAAATCAATTGCTATAGAGAGTAGCCCAAGGATAATTTTCAGGGAAGGGGTGGCTTGGGATATTCTCTGTGGAAACTTTTTGCCACCCAGTGCATTTCAAAAGATTAAGGCTTCTAAAGAGACACAAATTGATGTCAGTTTCGAGTCAATTTTTAACTTGGAATCTAAGTACTTGAAAGTAATAGAATCTGATATAGTTTGCTCACTCCGGAAAAATTCCTAAAGCCCTAGAATGTATTTATCAATTTCAACTATTAATTAAAACAACTTTGGTTGAAGCCTGTACAGCAGGTGTATTAGGGCACAGGGGAGGGAGAGAAATCAGGGGAAAGTGAGGTGGAGGTTCTTCCCCCTTCCTCTTTTCTCCCAGATTATCTGGCCTCCCATTCTATGTCTGCAACACAGGAGAGGAAGGAAGCAATGCTTCTGTGTTTTCTATGGAGGCAGTTGTATTACCGCAGTTTACATGTATTGTTGACAGAATCATCTTTGCAAGAATGATTGTATATACATGTAAATATCATACCATTCTGTAGTCTCACTGACAAAATCAATTATGACACTAATGTGGTTTCTGCATCTCGATATCAAACTGGCTACATAGTGTAATACATGGTGATTAATATAATAATCCACATGTAACACACTTCGTTATTAATAACCAGTGTGAGACCTAGATTGGTTTCCTCAGATGGAAGACTGGAAATGGAGAAACATGATATTAGTAAGAAAATTTCTGATTTCCATTCAGAATGAATAAAGAGGAAAACCTTCTGAATGGATTTTTCATAAAATTTCTGTTTCATCAGTTGACTGTATATGAAAATTCTCAGACCAGCTGAATAGTAACACCAAAATTTGGCTTTAGTACATTTAAGTCCTTTGGGCAATAATCCAACATTGAAGGTTTCAGATATGAGGGTGTGTTAAGAACAGTTTAAGACCACCTCTGAAGGAAAAAGACGGTGTTGTTACCCTTAACTGCCAGTGTTCCAGTGAGCTTCATCTCGGTAAGCACATAGCAGAGGTATTTAACTGCAGAACGTTGAATGCCAAATACATGTACGCTGTTTGCTTGCAGTTAATTTCACTCATGTTTGCTTGTGGTTAGCTTTTATTTGTCGGGAAGGAAAACATTATATTGCATTTGTCCCTTTCCAAAAAATAAAAGCTAACAGCAAGCAAACTTAAGTGAAGCTCACCCGCAAGCTAACAATGCATTTGACGTTCACCACTCTGCAATATACCCCTCCAATGAAAAACATCAAGACAAAAAACTTGCTGTTTCCCATGGGGCCATTTCCTTTAGCAGAATATAGAGGATAGCCATTTACTGTATTTGCATAGCCATACTTTATTCCCAGCAAATACACAGTGAAAATTATGTTAAAAATGTACTGAATGAGTGGGAAGGCAGGAGAGGAAAATGACCTTAAGGATGGCACACAAGAGGGGAAATGTCTTAAGGCCAAGTCCCTGAAACAAGTCCCTTGAATAATTTACACCAGGGGTCTGGAAGCAGGGGCTAGTCCCTTGTAGTGTTTAACATCAGGGAATTTATTACACAGGAACATATCAAAATCTAGGGGGGAAGGGTACTGGCGAGGGGTACTTGTCCCTTAAATTCAAACCAGTTTGAATCGCAGTGAGCTAAGATTGGCCCCTGCGAAGAGATTTCTCTACTAGAACGGGTATTTTAGACGAAACGACTTGCCCCTGAGACTCACCCGACTAATCGGCTGAAAATCATATTATATTCGATGATTTGTTCAGACCTCAGAAAGATGACCTGAGATTTAAGTCATAAACAGCGATTAAAGCTGGAACTAAGCTACCCTTACCAATCATGAGACCATCCAAGTCGAAAATTACATGAGTACACTTCGATATTGCTTTGTCGGCCATCCTAAAATGTCACTAAAATGCAGAAGACAATCAGGCGTTCAAGAAGCAGCGAGGACCTGGTAAGGAGGAAATATCAGCGTGGCTACCAAGCATTCCAATATGGCGGCCATCAAAAGGGTCGTCTATGCGCGAAAGTTGGAAAAAATCGCCTATTTACCAGCTCTAAAAGTACAAAATGCACTAGCTAGGCAACACCTGGACGAATTAAAAGCCAAAGGAACAAGCAGCGTTGAAAATATCCTGCTCTTCTACGAGCATTCTCCTGTTTTTACCATCGGAATACGAAACAAAAGCATCGACTCGAAAGAGAGGAAGAGATTGGAAGATTTAGGAGCAGAGTTTCATTTTACCAACAGAGGAGGCCTGTTGACATTCCACGGCCCTGGACAATTAGTTTGTTATCCCATTTTAAACCTTGACTGCTTCAAGAAAAGTTTAAGGTGGTATATAACTTCACTGGAAAATACGCTTATTGCGACTTGTAAAGGGTTCGACGTGCAGGCAGCGACTACGTGCGACACCGGAGTCTGGGTAAAGGACAACAAAATTGCAGCGATAGGTGAGTAAATAAAAGAAACATGATAATTGAACAAACCTCCACATTCTATGCTGCTATGGTCCCTAATCTCTCCATCCCTCTCTCCCNCCCCCCCCCCTTCCTCCTCCCTGCAATAGGCCATTTTAGAGCCTGTTTACATGGAGGGAGGGTGCCCCAGCTAACTGGGCTACCCAGCTAGAAATGTTGACACCTAGTCCGCCTTTACATGCAACTCACCTAACCGGGACAGTGAGTGGGCTGTGTGGGCTATCTTTTGAGCGGCCGCTAAGCACAACAAACAAAATGACCGACCAAAGAACCTTTTTGGCGGCAAGTTTAACTTTTTTTATCGCCCATTCCGCTAGCGGCGTCTTTTCCGTGTATAGGACTGTTGTTAATGGTAACTACGAAAAAATTCACCTCGCGCTCCCACTTTTTTGCGGTTTATCTCACCTCGGCTCGCTGGGATAGCCTGGCATGAACTGTTTACATGGTAAAAAGCTATCCCGCCTAGCCGGGTACCCTGGGCAAGTAGACAGGGTGCCCCGGGTAGGCGGGCTGCCTTGTCTAGCATGTAAACGCTTCAATGCGTTTTCTAAAGAAACATATGAGAAGTTGGCCCTCCCAGGGTAATTCGGTTAGCCAGGTAGCCCGGTTAGCCAGGGCACCCTCCCTCCATGTAAACAGGCCCTCACAGTTGTCTGCTTGGTGACCTGGCCTGTGATTGGCAGCGAGGCTGGAGGTGGCCTTGCTTTGCTACAGACCTCTCTGCTTTTGTCATGTAAATGCACCTAGTTAGCATCAGAACAACTTGATTTACACAGCAAAAGCAGTGAGGTCTGTATCCAACAAGGTCAACTCCAACCTCCCAGTCATTCAAAGGCCAGGTCACTAAGCAGACAACTGTAAAATGGTCTATTGACCTAATGATGTTCTGGCCGCACTTTGCTAGATGATTGAAGTGGTAGGGGGAAGGGGAAGTGGGGGTGGGAGGAGTTGGGGAGGGGGGGTGGAGAGGTGCCTGTCGCAAACAGGAGAGGTGTTACTTCCATGGATGGGTGGGTCATTTAATTTTCTCGTTTTTTTTTTTTTTTCTCAGTCTTCTCATGGGTTGACAGATGCTCTGTGACTGTGTCTTGCTCAGAGTGAACAAAAATCAATTGAAAATCCTTGGGAAAAAGGAAATATTTTAGAATGGGGAAATATCAGGAAAAGGTAAATATCATTTAGTTGATGAAATGGTTCTTTTCTTTGGTATTTACAGGTGTTCATACAAGCCGATGGATTACAACACATGGTATTGCACTGAACTGTAATAATGATCTGAGTTGGTTTGAGCACTTCACACCTTGTGGGATAGAAGGCAAAGGTGTTACGTCACTTTCAAAGGAAACTAATCAAAACATTGAACCGCTAGGTACAATTCCGGCTTTTATAGAGTCATTTCAAAATGTGTTCGATTGTACCGTTGTGTTAGAAGATAGCAAGGATGTCGGAATTAATAGTAGCTTGTAATAACCATTGACCTTGTAGCATGAAAAATTAACTATATTTTATAATTTTGATAGACAGTATTCAATCTAAATTCCGTAAGCTGCAGATGATTCTGGATATTTGTTACCTCTTGAGTGCAGTTTCATAGCTACAGGATGTCATGCCATGCAAATAGGGTTGTTATATAATATATCTATTTATAATATAGATAGGACCCTGCGTGCACTCTGATTGGTCAAGAACCCATGTTTTGTCGGAGTATATAAAACATAGAAAAAGCGTGTTTTATTGTTTTTGGCCACATTGCCTCTATATCATAAAGCAAATGAAGAAGCCTAAGCCATGTATTACATTGTGATAAACCACGACGGGCATTTAAGAACACTCGAGAAATGTAGAAAACAGTCGCCTGCGGTTCGTGTTTTCTACATTTCCCTCGTGTTCTCAAATGCCCGTCGTGGTTTATCACAGTGTAATACACAGCTTAGGCTTCTTCATTTGTTAAAAATACTTGCATGAGGAAGATACAATTAGTTATTGTGTGTAATTGTATATGGCAAATATTTTTGTCGCAACTATCGAAGCCTAAGAGTTTCTTTCTGTTAATTCTTTTCTGTAGCTGCCGTTTCCATTCCTTTTCCAGGCGGAGAGATCGAACAAGGGAGCAAGCAAGCGCGTGAGCGAAGGAGCGCGCCTGGAGTGAGCAAAAAATGGGGGGTTAGTTGGAAGGGGGTGAGCGGGAAGGGGGAGGGTGTGGGGAGAAAAGGAATCGCCTGCGGGCAATCCCAAACATTTAACCGAACTCCGTTCACCCACGAATGGGTAGCAACAGTACAATTTGATTGGTTAGTAGCCCGTTAATCAAAAAGTAACATCAGAAATTTAACAGTTCATGCATAATACGACATTTGGAACACGGCAAGATCAAAATACATATGGTGCATCCCGAGGAAGCGTTCAAATTTTCTGTTCAGGAAACGTTGAAAGACCTTTCGCAAAATGGCGAACACATCGATCTAACCGGAGCAAGAAGCTGCCATTAGAGTCTAGTCCGTGGATAGGATGTCCTTGCAGTCCATTCATCAAATACTTGAGGGAGTGAACGAGAAAATTTCAAGGGAGCGCCCCAAGGGAGTGCGGCATGTTTGGCGGCGTTCGGTAAAATGTCTGGGGTTGATTGCAGGCGTTTCCTTCGCCCGCCTCACCCCCTCCCCCTCCTCCATATTTCTTGCATTCGCTCGCAGTTTCGTTCCCTTCGCGTGCGTGTTTGATCATTGGCTCTGTTCATTCCGCTCCAACGGGTCATTGCATTATCACGGTGGGATGGTTTGTGGTAACCTGCGATCAGGGGTTCTTGTTTTGGCTAAATGCTTGCCCAAAAATTTAAAAGAAACGCCTCATCGCAGGTTAGGTTTGTGGGTGTTACTGACCCGGAGAGCTATGTCGGCTGAGTCTTGCTCTCCTGGTGGGATTAGCCATGCTGAACTGGACTGACAAACAAACGGAGTGAAAGACTGAAAGTCTTGAAAGAGCAAATTAATCGGCACAGTACTCGACAAAGAATCGGCTGTTTGGCATACGCATCTGCAACCTCGATTCCAGGTTCTCTCTCGTCATTGTTTTTTTTGTTTGTTTGTTTTCTTTTTTCCTCCTGCTATATTTTTCCGTTTAATATTCGAAGGTTTACTGTCCCAAATGATTTCCCAAAGTCTCTTATTGTTGGTACCGAAATGAGTTCGTCAGCATCGGTTTGACTGTAAGAGAAGAATACTCCTAACGAAAGTATTGGCTCTTTTGGCCATTTCAAACCAAAGGGAGAGTCCTGGTTATTTTTCCGCTGCCCTAACCACATTGCTTTAGTTTTAGCCGTATTAATTTCTAACCCAGAGCAGTGTTTCAAAACAAGCCGGCGACCGCCGGAGTTCCGCAGGCTACTTGATTATATATCGCTGGTTTCTCTGGCTTCAGCTTGTTAAAAAGAAAGCTTTAAGCATCCAATCCTTTTGCTTTGCTAAAACGATTCTCTCACATCAGAAAACTACCAAATGGCTGACCATGTTCGAAATCGCCCTATAATGCAAAGCAAACCCTTGAGTATTGAGTACGTCATGTATGCCTACGTATGGTGTCTCCTCTAGTTGATTTTACCAGACCTCCTGGGATGAGGGGCCTTGCGGCCCATAACTTGTCACAACCGCCTTCTCTTCCAGCTCCAGACGCCTACTTCAAAACATTTTGAAACCCTTGGCAGAGTGAGAAATACACTCTTTAAGAAAGCTGAGGAGTTAGTTAACTGATTCCTTGTCACAGACAAAACTAGTGGTGTCATCTGCATACTGCACTTCTTTTATTTTACGATTGCTAACTTGGATGCCTTCACCAATAGAGGCATTATTATTATCATTATCATCATCATCATCATCATCATCATCATCATCATTATCATTATCATTATCATTATCATTATTATTATTTTATAAAACTCTTGCATTTTGCATGCATGTACTAGTAGACCGCTAAAACGTTTTGGTGTAGCATTCTTCGTCGGTAAATGTGACTTCCGGCGAACTCCAATAAAGCAGGTAGTTTTTAGCTATTGCCCGGAGATCGAAGCGTACTAGATTTGTCATAGCAACGATCAAAACACTATGCAACCCCTCCTGACCAACAGATTTGTCTATGACCCAGATTCTGGGTAGTCACGTGACCAGCCGCAACCAGGGTTTCTCTCCTCACCGACAAGGGAAGCAAAGGGCAGATAGCCTGAGATCGAGGCTGAATCAGCCGTACGAAATGAAAACAAGGCAAAACGACAGAGAATTTGACATTGAAGCATTCAGACCAGCCGACATGCAAAATTCCATACAAGTAAGGAAAAATGGAAAGACAGCTGAACATGATGTCAGAGAGTGTCTAAAACAGACTTCGAATAGAGAATGAATTTGTTTAACAAAGTGAGAGAAGAGTGCATAGCATCGAAAAGCTGGAATAGAGGACTAATAGTAGTAGCTTCTCAAGAGGGTTGAGATAAAGGAGTGTTCAAATTCGAGGGCCTGACATTTTTCTACGAGTCGTAAGCAAGATCTCTTACAGAGTGTTGATAAGTGGGGCTAAGAAGGGTGTCGACAACATCCTGAAGGAGGAACTGTTCTATCTCATGACGTAATACAGTCGAACCCCTATTAAGCGGCCACCTATTAAACTGCCACCCCTATTAGGCGGCCAGTAATCAAAGTCCCGATGAGGTTTTTTCTATTGTTTTTACCTCTATTAAGCGGCCAGCCCCTTTCACGCGTTATGTTATGTAGGGAATTCTGGGAAATAAAGATGGCCGTTTGAGACTAGCTCGTGGGTTATTTTATCGCAGACTTCGGTCTTGTCATAGACCTTTTAAATACAAAATTGGCGACGAGGATAGTCGTTTCGCCTGCGCCAGTGTAAAATAGGCTGCTGTCTATGGCCTTGTGGACCCATTTGATGAAAATACCGATAAAGTTGCCCATTATGCCGGACTCTACGAAGCCTTCATGGTAGTAAATGAGACTGCCGAAGAAAGACATGTACAGGTACATGTGTTCCTAGCAGTGGTTGGACCACAAACTTACAAGTTGTAAAGAATCTTTGTGACCCAGAGAACCCGAAAACTTAATCGTATCCGGATCTGTAGAAAATTCTGCAAGCACACTACGAACCGGCCCCAATAGTCATTGCTAGACTGCAAAACAGTCGTATTTTTTGCGAACGCGAGCGACGGTCAATATTCAAACGAAAGGTCTGGAGTGAGTGTAAAAACGGCGAGGGAGAATAGGGAGAGACGCTACGGGTGTGTGAGGCTCGCGCGCTTCGCACGCGAGGATCGCGCTTACGGCTGTTCGCGCCTTCCGAAAACGTCCGAAAACTACTGTTTTGCAGTCTAAGTCATTGCCGAAAGGCAAATTCTAATTTTGTGGTACAATTGAAGAAATTGGCCTCCACCTGCAGTTTTGGTGCCTTTTTAGACGAAGCTCTTCGCGATAGACGTGTGTCTGGATTCCATTCCAAAATATCAAGAACGCAGCGCCATCTGTTGGCGGTGAGAGAGCTGACCTTCACGGCTGCACACAAACGGTGCATTGCAGATGAGTTGGCAAAGAAAGCTAACAAAGGACACATGGAAGAATCTGTAACAGTAGAAACTAACAAAATCCAGGACCTAAATCTGATGGATGTAGAGGTACTTGGAATGCCAATTCTAAACGATGTGAAGGGCGTGGTAGCAAAGCGCATGGTTTTGATGTTTGCAAATTCAAAACTGCAATCTGTTATCGTTGTTAGCAAAAAGACCATAGTCGTCCAGTATGCCAGGCCCGATTGCCGGAAAGGTATTTTCAAAGAAGGCCCAACAATTCTAGAGGCACGAGCGTAAACAGTTGTGAGCTTAATTCACAACAAGGAGGTGATGATTCCAGTTTCTAGAGTTAGTTATATCAAAAACAAGTCGACAGCTTACATATCAAGGCTAATTAGGTGTATACACAAGCAGTGACATAACATGATGTAATCAAACTGATCAAAGAGTGCTGCAATTCTTTCTTAAATTAAAATCCTCCTATGAATCTGACCTTGGGCAAGACTTGGTCTTTGACTTGGTCTTATTTAACAATAAAGAAATTCTTATTGATCAAAAGACTTTCTTTTACAAATCGTGGTTTCAAAAAGGGATTTCCGGATACACGACCTCCTCACGAAGAATGGCACCTTTCTTTCGCATGGTGATTTTACCCACAAGTATGATTAAAAATGCAATTTCCTACAGTATTTTCAAGTAGTTTCAGCAATACCCCGGCGACTTGTTGAAAAAGCAAAGGAAAACCTGGATGCCAAATTTACTTTTTCACCAGAAATTAGTTTTTTCCAGCTATCACCTTCAATAAATGTGAACCTTCTGAAAATGAAAAGTAAAGATTACTATTGGTTTTTTCAAAACAAATTAGATGCAGAACTTAAGGCGCCTGGAAACTGGACTCGTGATTTGCAGACTAGTGATACAGAATTTAATGTCTACTTCAAAAACCTAAAAGGTATCTACAAAGAAAATAAACTAAGAGAATTCTACTTTAAATTTCTACACAGAATCACTGTAACGAAAAAGGAATTATGTCTGTATGGTATAGAATGCAACAGTGCATGCGTGTACTGTCAGGAGTCTNGATTTTTAGAGGCGATGCCAGTGTTCCTTTGTTGAAGTTTGTCTGTCCGAATCGTTATGTTAATTGCTCGTTTTACAAGGCCTTTTCTTCGTTGTTTTTTCAGGGAGTTTTGAGAGTGCGGAAGCGAGTCACCTTGAGTGTGATCACTGTCAGTGCCATCTTTGGAGTCTGTTGGATTACTGGTTTATTAATATATATCTTAAGCTACTATGACATCTACATGTTTGGTCCTGCCTCCTACGCCATTTCCGACACCATGTTCATGTTCAATTCTGCCATCAACCCTTTTGTATATTCTCTGTTGAATGAACGGTTCAGGGGGAAACTGAAGGGAATGTTCTGTTACAAGTGCGCAGCCAGAGTACAACCCTCGAGCGAGCCCTACAGCGTGCAACTTGCCAACAACACGTCTCGCGTGACTAACACTGCAGGCGCCTGCTTGGACTGACACCTAGAGCACATGTTCTCAAGGAAGATTTTAACATAACAGCTTGAGGACGGTGCCGGCCATAGTAATTCAATAAACACTCAGCTTTTTTTCTTGATATAACATAAGAATTGATAATTATGTAATAAGTGCGGCAATTTAGTTGAGGAAACAAGCACGCGGAAGGTTTGTTGTCCAATCAATTAACAGCAGGAACAGTTGAGGTTACTTGGAAAGTTGACATCAAGGTTGAATAAGTTGCTTAGTAACAAGACGAAAGCAGACTCAGTGAACTGGAACTTGTTCCTTCAACTAAATACGAGAATTTAACACTGTCAACGGGACAATTAAGGTCTGGACTGCTGAATCCTTCCCAAGGCAAAGTAGCTTTGACATATTGTTTACTACTATTTAACTTTTATGTATCTCAGTAACTATACTCCGAATTAAGATTGTATTCTTCCAGCTCGACTGCAAAACAGTCGTATTTTTTGCGAACGCGGGCGACGGTCAATATTCGAAAGGTCTACAACAAGTTTATTCCTGGTAATTATCCCTTCAAAGTATAATCCATTTCATTTTTTATATGCATGACAATGTTGACTGATTAACAGACAGAGACGTTAACTTATTCTTGTCAGTTCAACTTTCACAGCTGGGGGAGGGGGGTGGGGGGTTTCAAAGCCGATTTATTCTGTGATGCTGAAGTTGAAGTAATCGTTCATCTCTCTCAAAAATTATTACAGCGCACGGTAAATAAGCTGTAAATAAATTGTCTCACCAGCCACCTGATATAAATGTTATCCATCAATTAATTTAGCGTTTCATACGCTGCAGACACACTTCTGCGAGGTACCATTTCTAATAAGGGTAGAAGAAACAGAGCACGAAAATTACTACTTTTACATACGTTTATTGATTTTTTATACATATATATTATCAAATTTACATATGATCAACTTTGATGACGACAGTTGATTCAACTGTTGAATGTTGAAATCCATTTTCTGTTTTTGCCACACTTAGACCTTCAGTTCACTATCCTAAGCGAAACCCTCAGATCGCTGTAATACCCACATATACCCCTTCTGATACATTGGCTAAGCACAAGTTTAGCTCGACCTTTGAATCAAAAAAGAAACAGATCTCGATTTGCGACATAACTCTGGAAGACCAGAGTCATTGAGCGCGCTGGCAAATAAGCAATTCTCAGTTTAAATTCTCGCAATGTCAGCCTTGCAAGGGTTTCTCGTGAAAAGGTCCTCACGTCCTCCAGTTAAACCTTGCCGAGTTTCACAGCGTATCGAGGGCAAAATCCTCTTCATGAAGTGCCTTTCAATAACGGAAGGTCTCATTACCAGAATGGACACCTGTGAAAAGAAGCAAAGTAAAAAATATCAGATATACATGCAATGATCTTCAGCGAGAACTATTGTGAGAAAACTCAAACAAACGTCTTACCATCCAATGTAGCACTGGCAAAGATTCTCATGTGAGGTGGCTTGTTTGATCAGCAGATCCACTTGTGTTGTTACATCAAGATTGTTATGACTGGTGAAGTCACGACCTATAAAATGTACAGGAATCAGTGTTT